TTTTAATTAAAATAAATTTTATCAAAATTATTTTTTAAATGTAATTTTTTTTTTTGTAAATGTAAATACTTTTTTTGTTATATTTGTTTAATTTTATAAATCTAAATCATTTTTGGTTCAAAAAATATTTAGGGACTTAATTGTTCAAAATATGAAATGTTCATTGGATTTTTTTTGGAAATTTTTTCACTATTTTACCACATTAACTAGTTGTACAAGTCATAAAAATGTATCCAACAAGTTTTAGAAAAGTCTAAGAAGTTATTTTGGATTGTCTAATGACTTATTTGTTCCAAAAAATTGTCCAATGAGTTATGTAACATGTTTTAAATTGTCCAATAAGTTATTTAACATGTTTTGGAATGTCCAATAACTTATTTGTTCCAAAAAMTTGTCCAAGGAGTTATTTAATATGTTTTTGATTGTCCAAGGACTTATTTGTTCCAAAAAAATGTCCAATGACTTAATCATTCCAAACACTAAAGTCCATTGGATTTTTTAGACTTTTCCCAAATGTATATGACTTATAATATAATATACTATAATTTTAAACTATTTAATAAAAATAAAAGACAATACATTTATATTTATTTTATATAGTAAAATCTATTTCGTTATCCACATCGACAAATAAATATCCAATTATATCTCTCACCACTTGTTACATCAATTAATGCTTAAACCGGTTATCCAGTTACATACATGTTTGAAACACTCCCTCTTAAATATCAAAATAAAAGTTTTAAAAGTATGTTACCTGTAATAGGAATTTGAACAAAATATATTTACATTTTCATGCAATTTACCCTATTCTTTTAAACTAATTATACTACTTAATAACAAAAACTATTTGAATATTAAAACATAATATTGAAAAAGACATGAAATTAAACTACAACATAAGAAGGAAAAAAAATATATATTCTAATTGATCTCATAGGAAGCATAACACAAACTATTAAAGAAAATAAACCACAATAACATCCCTTTGTTTTAAGGGTTGTAACCAAATCAATGTCGCACCCAATGTAAAGATAGATTTGAAGGCTTCTCACACATTACAAGAAAGTGAAAGCAGATTAAAAAAGAAATGGAGAGTAGTGGAGCGAGATTAAAAGTGGAAACCTATTCGGTCAGTGAACTCCTAGAGGAACAAGAAAGAAACTAAGATATTGCTCTAAATCAAGGTCACCGTGGAACAAGGATAGCCAGAGATTAAAATCGCTAGAAGTTCGTCGTCAAGGATAGGTTATTTACATTTTTTATGGAGCGTGAAGGGCCTTGAAAGGGCTGAATCTGAACAAGTGAAATATTTCGGGGTTGTTTGTTTACTTCTTAATAGTTCTATTAAGAGGTAGTATCTAATCTTTAAGAGGTGAATCTTGTTTGACAAAAAAAAATCGCCTCTTAATGGTTTTAAAATCCTCGGAATGATTTTGTATCATGGACCTCCCTTAATATTTAGGGTTCTAATTTCATTATAAACATTATATTTTATTTTGCACTATTTGATGAAAATTACTTTAATCATTTTGACCACTTAATTATTCTGCATTAAATCATTCAACAATTGTTAAACAATCCCTATTCATGTATGTGAATAAGCTATACAGAAAGCTATATTTCTTAATTAATTATTAAGTAAACAATCTAAAATCACTGTATCTGTATGAATAAACCAGCTACAGCTAGACCATTATACCTATCGAGTATTAAGTAAAGAATCAAAAATAGTTACACGAAGAGATCAGATAAACCAGCACTAGTTATAGTTATATCCAAATGATAAAGCGTTTATTGTCCAGATATATGATTTAAGAAATAATAAAGATAAAATATGAGTTAGGGCCACGTGTGATGGTAAACACGTCACGTGGCAGAAAAGGAGGAAAGTAGGAATAATGATTTGATACGCTTTGACTCTCGAGAAAATTGGCAGAAGACCAGAAAGCTATCCGGGTCATGCTTAACCGCTCGGAACACTAGGGAGGATTCATCCTAGTTTCTGGTGTCCGTGCCGGAGATATGGAATCGCCATCGCCATCGGCGTCGAAGGTGGAGGTAATAAAGCAGGCAATAAAGCAGGTGATGGAAGAGGTGGAATCCTCATCCCATGATGACGTTGACCTCCTCTCCAAACTGATGTCTCAGGTCAGTATCTCCTTAAATCATCTACAAAACTAGTACTTATTTTCAACATCAAATGAATCCATAGTTCCTAACAACTTTTGCTTGTGACTAGACTTGATCTTTACTTCACCATATATCTCAGAAAGATCCTTCTCTACCCTAATCCAACCAGGTTTCATATATTCTCGTATGGTATCGGAGTTGGGTCGGCTCGTCTTTCCGAAACAATCTGGGTCACACTACACTAGCCTCTTAATTTCTCTATGATGGAACCTCGCTCTCGCATTCTAGTGATTTTAGAGCAGTGCTTATGTGTAACATCCAGACCAACCATATCAATATTGTCAGCTTTACTTATACTTAGGGACTCACGGTTTTAAAACGAGGTATCCACTTTCCTTGTAAGGCAACCTTAAAGGTTGTTTGGTTGGTTTTCTATTGGATGGGTAAAGTTGTCTTTGTTAATTAATCACTCTATACTGAGAAAGCTTTTGTTCGAAGGGTCTTATCATAGACGGAGGAAGCTTATTCTTTAACTGGGAGGACGTCTTTAACCGGGAGGGACGGGTTTAGAAAAAAACTTGGCTTTCTGCCCAGCTTACGGATTTTGAGCTGCTTTAGGTTTCATTAAGTCGCTACCAAACAGTCATTTATAGTTGATCTAATAAGCTGTGAGTTCCATTAAGCTTGTTGAGCTGCTAACAAATAGGGCCTTAGCTCCCGTCCCAACCAATGCGAGGATCTTACAATCCTCGCCCGGAGAGCCCAGCATCCTTGCTGGCACACCAGTCCTGATCCGACTCTGTTACCATTTGTAACATCTCCGGCTAACCATACCAAAGACTCCCAGTTTTCAAATGCATCTCCGGCGAACCTTGGTTCCCCTTCTCAACCAATGTGCAGTCTTACATAATGGGACTCTTTTGAGGAGGATTCTAGTGGGGTTCTATATACTTTGAATTCTAGTGATCTTAGATCATGTCTTGTTACATTTACACATTTTCACAATATTTTCTCACCAGCAGCTCCAACTCGTTTTCTCTTTTTACAAATCAACAGTTGGAGAGGTTGGAGACTGAACCAGAAGCCAACACAGAGGGATTAGCTTTCCTTGCAATCTCCAAATTGGACTCCATGGGTGACGATGTGGCAACCAAAGTGAGCAAAAATGTGCCAAGATTGGAAGAAGAAGAAGAAGAAGAAAAGATAGCAAAAGAGCTTAAGTATGTGAAGAGGCAGAATTTTATAACACACTGTCTTCTTTCGGTCATGATAATCGTCACCATTGCTTGGCAGATATCCGAGGTCTCCATCATGTTGACACTCAAAGATAGAGTGAGCCACCCGTTCCGATCCATTAGTGGCGTGTTTAAGGGGATGCTAAAACCACGTAAACCAAATGGTAATGAAGAAGAGTCCTCTGTTACGTCTATTACAAGTGACCTCATCGAGTCCTCGCCAATGCATGATCTCAGAATTCCGGAGCTCCCTAAAATGGACTTGAGTTTTCAAGATGAAGAGTGAGTTACACAATAGATTTCACCAAGAATCACAAGAAATTCATTACTCTTCAAAGTACAAAGGGTGCTCTCAAGGTATTGTTGCTTGTTTTCTTTCCAAATGTTTCAAATGTGTAGATAACGGATTTAAGGTGAATTATAAATATGTGTTTTTTATTTGATGTTGCTATTTCCCTCGAGGTCGAATAGGGATGGCTTTTAGTTAGAGGATCGAGTCATTTCTCGTATCCCTTCTGCTTAGTTTTAAGTTTATGAGACGGCATTCACATAGCTATAGTTTGTGAAGAGATGAATCAGTAAAAAACCGAATTGTATTGTGTAGGAAAAGGGCGACCACTTATATACACTTAAGTCCCTAAATAATCTAGGCTATGGTAGTTAGATTCATACAAGATCAGTAACCAAGTAAGAATAAGAAAACGATCGAATCATATGTGATTTTACACTAAAATCACGTGTAAAATCACATATGACTCACACTACATTGGCCCCGACCTGAGCTTGCGGGCCACGTCACCCTCACACCCTTGCATTGACCGTCAATTGGAACTCACATGTGATTTTGTATGTAGCGCTTTCGTGCTCTCTCTTATTTGATTACTGCTCTGGTATTAACCTCCCCAAGATAGAGTCAGGTTCATACAAAAAGAGTAACCAAACAAGAGATAAGAAAAACGGTCGAATCACACATAAAATCACATGTGATTCATCAAATATTGGAGTTAGTTGCAGAACATATATTCTGAGGTATAGGAACAGATTCATCAAGAGTGTTATCCTTAGTATGAAATAATTTGTCGAAAAGAGCCAATAATTTGTGGAAAAGCCACAGGATTAACAGCACTAGATCCATTGTCAAAAACGTACCTGAGGCTGGCAAAGGTGTGGGCAACTCCTTGGCCCAAGCTATACAGAAACAACCCTTTAGGTCTTGGAACTAAACTACTTCAAAACCCAAAAATAGTACGAGGAGGCAAGGTCTTTCTATGTGAACTTGTTTAGTAGTGCTGTTATGAATGCCTTGATGATGAACTCTCCTCTTGTTGCTAATAGTTAAGCTGTATATCAAACAGGAAATTAGGAGACAAAACTAAACAGGTGATCCTAGTTTTGAGCTCTGATACAAAATAGTCTCAATCCTGTCCAAAAATAGAGCATACAATGACACAAAGGGATCACGGAGTCAAGGAAGTTGTGGTCGGCAAAGATAGATGGTTACAAGATACCTATCAAGAAAAGAAATTAATATGCGACACTCACTAAATCATTTTAGATTTCACTAAATTCAACAAGTTCGAACCAAACAGAAATAAAGAAACAAGCTCGCCTACTACTTACATCAAGGTTTCACTAAATGGAGCGAAATTTTGTTATCCTAAAATAACCACATCAAAGCAGGTTCAGAAACTTATATCATCTCCTGTTACCAGGCAATTGCAGGTGAAGGTATGGCTTCAATCTCTAGCAAACCGAGTTTAATACTCAAAATGGAAGCAGTTCGATAAGAATAGCCTGATAAATGTTAATATTACTAAAAACTTGCAACGTTAACTAGAACTCGATTGACCTAAGTTCGTATGGTAAATCTCATAGTAAAGCACACGATTAATCTAAGTTCAAAACCACATTTCACGTCCTAAACACAACAACAGAACAAATCATAAATCACGAAAGTCTACACATGGCAATCAATTTTAGTTACGATATTGCGACACATCATGTAAGAAGACTAGTGTGTGTTGCGATTTTCATATAAATCCTTCTCTTCTTTCTGAAAAATCATGTTATCGTGCTCGAATTTGCGTCGATACGATACATAATTGAATCGATTACCTGGATAGACTTATGAGTATGTTTTTCGCCGATGAAATGGAGATTACCGGAAACAAATACGATCATTCCGCCGGCGGAACCATAGGCTGGTAATTTGCTGCACGGTTGGAAGGGGAAGCAACAATAGATTCACTAGCATGTTCCGAAGCCTCTGTACCGTCAACGCCAAAACTCCTGATACAAGTTCACCTTTCTGGCCGGATTCGCATTCCGATGAAGGCCTATCGCCACTGTTACATGTAAATAATTTATAGTAAAGATTGTTTCCATACTTTCCTCTCTCCTTTTCAATTGTATATAGTACAGGGACTGTATTGCAACTTTGTATTTTTGGCATTCTCTATTTTTTCTAGGGGTATTCTAACCCCACCCTGCCACCCCAAAATCCCCACCCCCTCCTACACTAAAGACAAAAGACAACAAAAAGACAAAAGTTAAATATTTTTATTTTTAACCTTTTAATATTTTAACTTTTAACCCTAACTTTTTTATATTTTAACTTTTAACTCTTTACTTTTTTAACATGTTTTATATTATTATTAATTAATAAAATATTAATAATACATATTAATGAAATATTAATAATACATATTTCAAATATAAATTAAATTTATTAATTAAAACTTTGATTTTTCATGTTAAATCAACATATTCACGAGTAAGAGTACGCTCTATATATTTTTCATATGCACTGAATCTATGTTGATACGGGACAATCCATGTACTTGCATCTTCAAAACGATAACGAGTCCAATGATGCGTAAGTGTGGGCATTGGATATTCTCCATTTAATACCACCTTTATGTAATGGTTACCATCAACATGCACTATTGCAATTGCCACGTGTTGAGATGACGACGGAGGTTGTGTCCTAAACGGTAAGTATGTCACACTGCCTGCCATATTGAGAACATGTAGTATGATATTGAACCTTGAAGTCGTTAGAATGCCCATTTCAGGCATAACAATCCAATGCGCAACTGGTGCAAAGACGCCCTTTCGGAAAAAATTTAGTGTTTCGTGAATGCGTAAGCACTCATCGCCAATCACATAGGAGTAATACTGTTCATACTCAGTTAGTTCAATCATTAACTCTTTGCGGATATTGTCCCATTCGTCTTCATGACCACCCAGACAAGTAGATATCGCTCGAAATTCACAATTTCCATCGCCTAATACATCTTGTATTTGTATGATGTATGGATGAAATAAACTCGGGATTTGATCAAGATACGGATGTCGGGTGGTGGGTTGTCGTTGGAAATAGGAACTATGTCTCGTTGATTCTTGATGCCCCAAATCTTCAGAGTTAATAATTGATGGCACGTTAGAACAACTACGTCTACGGTCTTCAATAATTCTTTTATTCAAAGCTTGACTCTTTGTAGATGGACGGCCACGAGTGGTTTTATGAACCAAGGGTTCATCAAACGGTTTTGATGGCATTATTATATCCTTCAACTTTCTGAGTAAACTTTTACGACTATGATACGACTGCTTATTAAATTTTTCTTTGAACAATTGAACTTCCTGCATAGTTTGTTGTCTTAATATTTTGTTGTTCATTGTATATCGTTTTTGACGTAGATGCATTTCCCGTATGTCTACCCTTTAACGTGGATAAGATGTGTCGTGGCTTGACATGTTGGGCTGATAGATCTTCAACTAGTTGAGCTTCAGTTTCATTTAGCTGCGATGCATATGCATGACCCTCCATATATTGTGCAAGAACATGATTATGTGCATCGCATACCACCGTCAACGTCCACCAACTATGTTTAGCCGAAAATAGCGCTATCAACTCAAATGGGCATCCAAATTTTTTTGTTCTCGTATGACGAATGGGAGTTATTTTATAATTGTAAGCTCCGCCGTGTTCACACATAAACACAACTTTATAAACATTTCCATTTGGCTTTGCCTTTGATCTTTTTGTAACAACAACACAACCAACTGAACGCCCCACATTGTGCACCCACTCGGTTATTTCTTCCC